CCCCATCCGAAAACCCATCACCAACCCCAGACTTGGCCCCAACCCTGTCCCTGACTCCAACCGCATCCCACCCCCTTCCCCAAGCCACCCAGCACCTATCCCCATCCACACCCTTTCTCCAACCCCACCGGACACCTGCCCACCTTCCAGTCTTATCCCTAATCCCAATTCCTGCTGCAGCCCCGTCTCTGTCCCCAGTCTCAATCCCCTCCTCAACCCGTTCTGGCTCCCCTCTCCCCCGCCACCCCACCCATGGCCCTCCCAAGCCCTACCTCTGCTCACCTAGGGGACCACTGATGCAGGACACACAGTGGAAGTAGCTCTGACAAGCCCGCTCCACATTGAAGGCCACCCAGTACCGCAGGCTGCTTAAGAAGCTGACCCAGGAGTCCAGGGGGTTGAGGATCCGCACGTCCCCCCCAACAGCCCCCACCCGGGGGTCCTCGTCCAGCACCCGCACCAGCTCCAGGAGTGCCATGGGGTCCAGCCTCGTGTCTGAGTCACAAACCTGCGGAGCGGAAGGGGCTGGGATCAGGCCAGATCCTGAGGGGAGGACACCCAGGGGCGGGGAGCTGCTGGGACGTTCTACAGCCAATCTGAACATACGTTTGAATTTTGTCGTTATTTCCAACGCCTAATCACATTTTAAGATGACTTCCTCCCCGAGACCCATTCCCCTGTATAACACCCTCCTCTGGTGTGTGGGTGAGACCTGTAATTTGCTTCTAACCCACAGAATATGGCAAAAGTGATGGGACACAACTCTCATGATTATACTACCTTGTATACAAATGGTAAAGGAGTTTTGCAGTGTAATTTATCCTTAATCTGTTGACATTTCCTGCGTAGGTCTGACCTAATCAGGTGAGCCCTTTGAAAGGGGGTCTAGAAGTCTGAGAGTTTCTCTTGCTGGTCTGGAAGAGGCAAGTTTTAGGACGGCAAGAACATGAATTCTGCCAACAAATACATGAGCTTGTTAGAGGCCCCGGGCCTTAGATAGGACCCAGCTGACACCGTGATTGTAGCCTGATGATACCCTGAATAGAGGATCCAGTAAGACTTTGCCCAGACTTTCCTGATTCATGGAAACTATGAGATAATAAGTGTTTTGTTTCCAGCGGCCAAATTTGTGGTAATTTGTTATGCAGTCATAGAAAACGAATGCAGTACATTAATGAATGAATTTCTACACTGAATGGATGAATGACTAATTGAGCAAATGAATATATTGAATAGATAAATGGATGAATAAATGAACAAAGTAATCTCCACACTGAATGTCCCTATGTTCAATGGGTAAGTGAATGAATGAATAAATGAATGCACGGTCTCCCTATTAGATGGATAATGGATGCATGAACCGATGAGTAAAGGATAGAATTTCTACACTGGATGAAGAAAGCAAGAAATCTCTACATGGAATGGATGAAAATACAGAAATAAGAGCTACCTGACTGGCTCAATCAGTAGAGCGTGCAACTCTTGATCCCGGGGTTGTGAGTTCGAGCCCCATGTTGGGTGCACAGATTACTTAAAAATAAAATCTTAAACAAGCAAACAAATAAATCTATATTAGATGCACAAATGAAAAAATCTTTAGACTGAGTGGATGGGTACATGGACGGATGAGTGAATGCATGAAGGAGAGTCTGCATCCAACAGATATATGAATGAGTAAAATGAATGATCTCCATATTGGAGGTGGGTGTAAGAATGTGTGATGTCAACTACACTTCAACTTAAAAAGAGTAGTGGGGCGCCTGGGTGGCTCAGTCAGTTGAGCGTCCGACTTTGGCTCAGGTCATGATCTCACGGTCTGTGAGTTCGAGCCCCGCGTCGGGCTCTGTGCCCACAGCTCAGAGCCTGGAGCCTGTTCAGATTCTGTGTCTCCCTCTCTCTCTGCCCCTCCCCCGCTCGTGCTCTGTCTCTCTCTGTCTCAAAAAACTAAACATTAAAATTTTTTTTTAAAAAAAAGAGTAGAAATGAAAGAGTATGCACTCAAGAATGAATGAGTGAAGAAAGGAAGGAATTAATGAATCGCCGCGTGAACGAAAGCAACAAATGAGTCTGTCTCCCCGTAAGAATGAACGAGCAAAGGAAAGAATCGCTACTTTGAACGGATGAATAAATAAGGGCAGTTGGAGGTTCATTCCGATCTCTGCACCGAAAAAGGATCCCAGAGAAGGGGCATGCCGAGTGTCAGGGGCACGGTGGGGAGGGGACGCCTTCCACTCACCTGCACGTAGTCCACCGAGTCGCCGAGCGCCTTGAAGGCGGTGTACATGACCTCGCGCTTGCCGCCCCAGCGCTGCGCCACGCACACGCAGCGGTGCGTCCTCACCAGCGCCTCCACCGCCAGCCGCCCGGG